CACTATTTATACTTAAATTACATATCGGTATGTAAAAAACGTGCAATGCGAATTGCACGCCAGCAAAATGTAAGCCACGGATTCAGATTCGCTTGGAGAAGTGGGATACGTAAACGAAGGCACTCAACTGCCTTCGTGAATTGTGGAGTGTGGTGTGAAGTGTGTCTGTCCATTTGAGTCTGTGTCCATGTGTGTTTGTTAGATGATTGGCTTCGCAAATGTATCTGTCTCCGACTTGGGCTCTGTTTCTGGCTGTAACATTGGCTTTGGCCATGCTATAGACTCCGGACATACAGTTAATGTAATTGTTGCTGTGACACTGACACCACCTTCTACCTCCTGCCACCTACTGCTCCCACTCCTCGTCAATGTGGACATTACTCATTCAGCTGAGCAGCGCGCCAATTCAAATGAACGCAAAAAGCGAGCGTACAAAGTCTTTTTTATCGAACCAAATGCGCTACACTCCATTAGGCATATTGCTTTTAAACTAATATATAGTAAGGGTTCCTTGAAAGCAATTACATAGAGTGTAGAACAATCAAAAATTGTGCAGTTTAAAGAAGTTCGTAAAGAAACATGTAGTATATTAGTCAGAAATAGGTAGTATATTATAAATATATCACTTGGAGGTCTATTGAATAGAAATAAAATGTTTTTTTCTGGCTTGGGGAATTCCAAAGTACCGAAGTACAAAGAAGTCTATACACCATTAAAACGATATAATATATACCCAGTTGCTAAATAGCTAAGAATAGAAACTTAATTGTATGCAATTTTTATTTAATTCATGTTTTAGCTAGACCTTTATAAAATATATAGACATACTTTGTGCAAATCAATTTTTTTTTATTAATTTTCTTATTATTTTGAAATCTTGATTCTCATTTTCATTAGCTTATTATAGTTTTCTTTTAAATTAAAACAGTCCAAGCTCGAAGTTTTTTTTTACTTGTATCTATAAAATTTACTAATTAAATATTAAATATTATTAAATAAATATGTGAAATATATTTAGTTTATGTATTTTCGCCATTTATGTACCGCATGTTCACCCCAATCAATTTTTGAGCTATTTACCCTCTACTCTGTTGGTATCTCACTTTTTGAAACAATTATCTTTGCATCCTTCCTGTTTCCTCTAAATAATGATTTACCAGCCGCCTCTTAAATCTCTTTCATTTTATGACCATAGCTGCAAAATGCATTGATTCCTGCAGCCGGTGCAGCGTCTTTCCTGGGTCGCCTTCACTGTGAACTTTTCGGAGATAATCTCGGGCTGTAGCTCGTGCTGCACACAACGTCGCACACTTTTCAGTTTAAGTTACGGTTGCAGTTTCTGTTTCAATTTCAGTTGATTTTTAATGTTTTTTGTTTTTTTATTTTATTTTTTTTTTTTTGTCTCGATTTTTATGATCCAGTATTTACAAGCGTGTTTAATCGTAATCGCGCCACAGCCACAGCAGCTCGCACAATATGAACAACGTTGTTGTTGTTGTTGTTGCTGTTACTCACAATATGTTGGTGTTATTGTTGTTGTTGCTGTGGTAGCTGTTGCTGCTGCCTTTTGCATATTTCTCCCGCCTCAATCAATTCGCAGTTGATTTTTATTTCAGTTTCCCACTCATTTGCATTTACCATAAATTCAATTAAAGTGCCCCGTTGCCGTCTTTTTATTTATTTCATTTTTACTTCCAGCTAGCATGGCTCAGCACCTATTTTACAACACTTTTACAGCACTTTTACAGCACTTTTGCAGCTCTTTTGCAACTGTGTGACTTTTTTTTATGACTCAAACATTTTCTTGATTTCTTTGCATCTGCCCCGTTTTTGGGGGAACTCGTGTTATTTACACGCTTTTAATTCAATTTCAATTGCACAATTAATCATGCGCTTGGTACACCTTGGCACACACAAACACACACATGCCTGGAAATTCACTTTTGGATTTTCCTTGTGCGTGTTTTTCGCTGCTCGCTTGAAGTTCAACGGAGCGTATGAGCGATTTTTACTTGTCTCTGCTTGTTGTTGAACTCTTTTGTGTTAATTAAACGCTTTAATATCGCTGCGCTTTGTTGACGCTGTCATAACAGTACACACACACACTCACACACACACAGTCTCACACACACACCCACATAGCATAAACAATTGCATTTTTTAGTGGCGTTCCGTGCAAAATGATTGATTTGATTTCTCAGTTGAGCCCCAGAGTCAAGAAACGCGCAACGAAGCAACAACCCAGCAAACAGACACAACAACAACAACAATTAAACAGCCAACGCACAATGGCAAACACATTATTTATGGCGCTCAATGAGCTCCAAGTGCATGAAATTTTTATTATTATTTTAGATTATTTTTAAATACAGCTCAAGTATTTTTCAATATCTTTGCACAGACTCTGTGTGGAGTCGTTGGGAGTCGGTGGCTTTTAAGGTGCGTCGCATTCGTGTTTTGAATAGCGGAAATTCCACATGAGCACACACCAAAAAGACAACCGCCTGTCGCAGTCGCAGCAACAGCAACAAATGCAGCCAGTTACCAGTTGCCAGTTAAAGATACAAATACACCGAAAGTATCTCACAGATACGGGCAATTGGCTCTGTGTAGCTGTGCAATAACATTGACATTTAGAATGCAGCTCACACTGAACTGAACTGAACTGAACTGAACCATTCATAATTGCAAATCTCCGCCATAAAAAGCTATGAAAATCAACAGCCGAACGCACCGGACACCAGAAAGTGCACACAAATCTACAAATCCACTAACCTTGTGGCCCCGACCATAAAAAATTGCGTATCGATTCCGTCGTTTTTGACGTCTTTGGTTAGCGGTGGTTGGTCGTGCTTTTGAGCCTGATTCAAGCCAGAGTCGTGCACTGGCCCGGCCAATTACAGTGCACTTGCCACTTGCCCATGGAGTGGGCCAAGATGCCGACCACGACCGCAAAATGAAACTGTAGCTGGGTGGGAGGCGCTACTTGTTGGCCAAGTAGAGAGGTGGGGACAGACACGGTTTGTGGTCCAACAGCCATGTGGAGTCATGCGACGTAGATCAATAAGTAAACCGTCAGGATGAATAAATCTTTCATCAAAGTGCAATTGAAAGGAAATATTTCTTCAGTCTTAGAACTAAGCTAGAAATGATTGTATTTCGTTCTATTTGTACCCTGTGATAGATATAGATATAGATATAGATATAGATATAGATATAGATATAGATATAGATATAGATATAGATATAGATATAGATATAGATATAGATATAGATATAGATATAGATATAGATATAGATATAGATATAGATATAGATATAGATATAGAATAGATATAGATATAGATATAGATATAGATATAGATATAGATATAGATATCGATATAGATATAGATATAGATATAGATATAGATATAGATATAGATATAGATATAGATATAGATATAGATATAGATATTAGATATAGATATAGATATAGATATAGATATAGATATAGATATAGATATAGATATAGATATAGTATAGATAAGCTATAGATATAGATATAGATATAGATATAGATATGATATAGATATAGATATAGATATAGATTAGTAGATATAGATATAGATATGATATAGATATAGATATAGATATAGATATAGATATAGATATAGATATAGATATAGATATAGATATAGATATAGATATAGATATAGATATAGATATAGATATAGATATAGATATAGATATAGATATAGATATAGATATAGATATAGATATAGATATAGATATAGATATAGATATAGATATAGATATAGATATAGATATAGATATAGATATAGATATAGATATAGATATAGATATAGATATAGATATAGATATAGATATAGATATAGATATAGATATAGATATAGATATAGATATAGATATAGATATAGATATAGATATAGATATAGATATAGATATAGATATAGATATAGATATAGATATAGATATAGATATAGATATAGATATAGATATAGATATAGATATATAGATAAGTTATTCAGAGAAGCAGTTCCTTAGTCATTCTCACGATTGCATCTGTTGCATTCACGACTTTTACACTCCCACGATGACATTTAAGTTATATTAAATTTAACGAGCAAAGAACTGGAAGATATCTATCAAACTACTTCCTAATAAGTTGTTAAACATCCTCGCAGGTATTTCAACACTTTGAAACTAAACATTATTGCAATGTGCCCCCCACACACCCGGCTGACAACATTTTTCGCAACAAAATATTTTTGAGTTGGAAAAACGAAACGTAAAACGTTCTTTGGCAGCACGCTTCGACCAGACACAAACAATGCCGTAATGACCCACTCAGCAGGCAAGCAGGCAACCACAAAGCAACAACAACCAGCTCATATGATAGAAAGATGGCATCATAACTTAAGCATAAACGTCACCATTAAAATATTGGCAACAATGCCCAAAAGCGGCTTCAAGTGGCCCAAACTGCGCTCGTCGCCAAGATGCAGGCGGTGCAGGTAAACGTGGGTAACCCAGGCGGCTAACACAGTGCACCACTGACTGCACCGCAAAACGATGCCAACTCAATAGAAGTACATCGAACGACGCCTTAAGAGAGTGTCCAAATGCGGACCAGTTAAGAGTCAGGTCGAAGAGATACAAAGCCAGTTGCCGAGAGTCAGCCACTGGTGATACCAGATTCCGACACACTGAGCCGGAGCTGAGCGAAAACGAAATCAAACTGAAACCGAAAGTCAATCGGCGTTGAGCTCCCTCCCAGGCCGAGGCCCCAAAGCGGCGCCACTTCTGTCAGTCTCTTCGCGAAGAAGAACGCGTAGCAAATATCAAAGAGATATCACAGCTGCAGTCGCTGCCGCTAACGCTGCCGCAGTCGCAGTCGCTGTCCGCGTCGGCTGCGCATGCTCATTTTTGGCGTCTTCAAGCAAATCGCCCAACTGGCAAAGGTTTCAGTCGTAATTTTGGCTGCCGAACGTGCGGAGCTTTTGGCCAAGAGACGCGCGTGCCGCAACGAACCACAACAATAACAACAACCACGAGTCTAATTACAACAAGTGCGTAGTGTGAGTTAAAGCTGAAAAAAGTATTTAACTAAAATCAATTTCGATAAAAAAAACAACAAAAATCAATCCTTAAAAATGCTAATGTTTTGTTATGTTTTTATGAGCCGCAAGTGCATAAATATTGTTAAGGCTAATGCAAAAGTACTTCAAACAGAGCTCAGCAGCAGCAGCAGAAAGTGCGAATCATAAAAGTACACACAACTATTTGGCTATAGATACAAATGTATCTGCAAGTGCGCTGCGTGTGTATCTCGTAAGCTGTTAGCGTGCAAGGTTCAAATGCACGGCAAACACTTGCCAAACTCAACTTCGTTGTTGTTTTTTGTTTTTTTATTTTATGTAAATTATGACTTTTGTAATTATCGCACTACAACTAACAACAACAAATTGCAGCTGCCATATGCAATCGGCAATCGACAGAAAAAATAAATTAAAAATAATAACGACTTGTAAATATTTGAAGTTTGCGCTTTTAATTAAATGAAAAATTGCAATCAAATTTGATTAACATATAACATGGCAACAAACATGGCCAAAACCAAACCAACAACGACAACAACAACTAGTGAGCACTCAAAAAGTCGGCCGGCCGAGCTAACCGCAGAAGATCCAAGACCAAAAAATATACCAAAACCGTGGAAAAGCGTCAAGTGTGAGGTTCTCGTGTGATCTGTGATCATTATTGCTTATGAGCTTATGAGCAGGCACTCTATATGTTAGTTTGCGAACAGGTCTGCAAATCTGGTAGCTGCATTAATTACAAATCTATTTAAATGAGTCTGACAGCCCGCACCGCCGCAGGTGAGCTGCGACGAGCCGCAAGTTACGAGCCAAGTGCCAAAGATGATCATTTTAAGTGATGTCGCAATCATCTGTTGCCAACGGATTTATCTTTAAATGATAATGAGGTGCAATTCTTAAGAATCTGCAGCTCAGTAAAAAACTTGGACATGTTGATTACGTTGCAAAGTTAAAGACTTGACGCGAGTTGAAGTTTAATGAAAAACTGACTTTGAACAAAAACTCTTGCAAAATTAAAAGGAATTCTAAAAAATAATAATATTTTAATAATATAAAAGCAAATTATTAAATAATTACTTTGTTAAATCAAAGTTGAACTTGAGTTCATGTGTTAATTTGACTATGGATGGTTTCTGTAGACAATTTAAAAAGAATTCTATAGTGATCAGATCTAGCCGCTGTCTAACAAAAAATTGAATATAATTAGAGCAAGAAGGAGAAACACATTCTCGTACAATTATAGAACGAAATTTGAATGTGAATAAAAAATCTCTGTTCCGCTTTCAAGCAGTTGTTCATCGAGATCAGAAAAAAGGCGAAAAATTAATTTGAAAAATTTCATACTCATATTTATGAGCTGAGTTTTATTAATGTTTAACCTTGTATATGAATATTATGATACAATCATATGTTGAGGATTATTTTGAAGAGAAGATATAATAGTTGCTTACATTAAATACAATTTTAAATACAATTTTAAAAATTGTTGAATCAAATCTTAAAAACTATTTAACGCAATGAGTTAGTGAATCTGCGTTCTGATTCATAATATTGATCTCAAAGAAACTCCTTAAGAAACTTTTTTTTGAATGTAATTAACGACTTCTCAGATCGTTCTTGATATTTCTTATAGTTATTTTTTGGAATTTATGTTTCTAGCTTTGACAGTAGTTCATTCAGATGTTTTATAGAGTTGAATATGTAATATTATGTGCACATATCTTATATGGAAATTAATTTATGACCCATCAAAAAATCTTGATCTCTGATCTTTAGAGATGCGTGTATTTTTTTTTATTTTTGTTTAATGATTTATTGTAAAATTTTACCATAAATAAGCTTTTTTAAAATATATAAATATTCAAATGAATTGCTATAAAAATTATTGATTTGATTGCACCAGTCAATTAAATTTGCAACTGTCCATCACATTAATAGACAAGTTTTTTTTAATTATTATTTTACAGCGTACTTTCAAGTACGTGTAATAAATAAATTTTAAGTATAATATTTATTTATTACATTTATTATTTATTTGATTTCGTATATGACTTCTATTCTATAATGAACTAATAGAGCTTATATATTTTTCTAAATTATTAGACTATTATTTATTAATATGTAGGAATATCAAAATTCCCCATTTCCTTCAATTTTTTTTAATATTTTAAATAGAATTCCTGAACTTAATTATGCATATCCTTTATTTTTGGCTGTTTCAATTGGAATTTAAATACCTTATGACTGTCATTTTTTGCCTCTTTTTAAATACGTTTGATTTGATTATTGAATAGTTAATGCACATTTGATAAGTCTCAATGCAGTTCACCTCGTCGTCAGTCACTTTTAGCAGTTCACGACAATGATCGATCACACTTCACTTCACTTAGCTCATTTTAACTCTCCTATGCTGAAGTACGAGTATGTAGGTCGCTTTTCTCACCCCCAAGTGCAACATCCTTGGCATACTCTATCAATTATCGATTATTCACTGCCATGACGCATCGCAAATGCGCTCACACACAGACAGACTCATTGAGAAGAGAAACAGACAACTAGCAAATTACTTTACAAAATTGTAACATGCACAAATATGAGCATATAGTCGTTCGGCTGCCATAATCCACGTCCACATCCACCCGCTGCCGGAGCAGCTGGTCTCAGTTAGTCGGTCCTCCCCCCCGTTGATGGCTCGAAGCTGTTGACCAACTGTGGCGAACTATGGCTGGCTCGCTGGTTCACCTCGCACATCTTGGCCGGCACTTGGGTAGATACTTAAATGCTTACGTGCTGGCTAGTACTGTACAGCCAAATAAAATCAAAAAGCATAAACAATTTATTTTACAAAAATAAAAAATAACTTTGAACTGCAGTTGCACACATCGACTACAGCATCTGTTTTGGCTGCAGCTTTGCTTCTGGCGCAGATTATAGCCACAAAATGACTTAACTTATAAGCAACTCAATGCCTGCCTGGCATTTGCAATGGCTGTTGTTGCAGTTGCCAGTTGCTGTTGTTGTTGTTGCTGAAGCTGAAGCTGATGCCGCAACAAGTTCGTGTAATCAATGCAATTTAGTCGCTAGCCATGTCAGGAATGTGGTGCATAGGTCGACTGCTAGTTAGCCACAATGCGAAACACGTCTCGTCCGAGTCTAATTCCAAGTCTCTGCCTCCGTCTCGAGTTCGAGTCTGAGTCTGACGTGTGAACAGACCGCCAGAATATGGAGAGTTGTGCAATAGATCGAGCATAGATTGAAGATTGCACTAACCACGTATATTCGTGGTGCCCACTTGATGGGGCATTCAGGCGTAAATTCATTGCTCAAAGGTGTTCTAATGGTTGCCCAAATGAGCCCCCGATGGGCCATTGTGTACAACATGTCTACATGGTAGCACTAATACTTCACCTGTTTGATATTACAAAGTAGATATTACCTGCTATTAAACGCAGCTACAGTTACTAACTAGAGGTGAGAGGCGCAAAACAAGTTACGATTGCCAATTGCCAAGAATTCGCCGACGAACCGACAAAACCTTACAGAAACTTGTTTGGGGTGTTACGAATACGAATAGATTCTATGAGCCGCAAAAACAAAACATTGCTTCAGATTATCAAAGTGTATTGTTATTTACAGCATTTCCAGTTCCTTAATCTTCTTGACTAGTTTTAAAGCACATCCATCATCTATTTGAACAAAGACAAATTTATTGTTTCGATTCGATATTGAATAATCCAACATTTGGATATTTGAAGCTTTTCAAAAAGTTGACTACTACCAGCATGACTTTGAGCACGGTTTTGACTTGTTCTACTGATTAATGTCAATCCTAACATATTTTATATCAAAGACATTAATTTGGAAGGTTTATTTCTAAACATTGTTTCTGTATATTTATAAAATTAACGAATTAAAATTTTGTGTATTTATGTTTTTAAATTTAAATTCTCAAAACTGTCTGTTGAACTGTTCGAACAGATTTAACAACTCATTAAAATATTGCCAATTTCTTAAAAGTTTTCTTTTAATTTCCTTTGAAAAACTAGTTAAATTTCTGTAGCAAGTTTTTTTTTCTTTTAAAGCTTTTTTTTATAAATTGATTGCCATAGTATTCCCAAATCCTTTCTGATTTAAATGTAAAAAACCTTTTCATCCTCTTTTAGACAGAATTGTGTGATAAAATTTAGCAATCGAAAATGCCTTGAACATTCTATTAAACAAAGCATTGAGCAATTGAGAAATTATATGAAATAAAATATCCGTTGCTGGGTCCACTTAAACATCGTTTAGCTTTGTAATTTTGTACATCACGGCACATTTCCCAGATGACTTAACCGCCATAAAGTTTTTCTCCGATCACGCGCATCTCACATTAGTTAAGAGTTGTCTTATGAGGCAACTGCGGAACACATTCGCCCGACCATTAGCAGCTTTATAGTTCGAATCAGCTACGAGCTAAGTGAAGCACACGTAATTGCACTGTTTATGTTGTGGGCAATGAGAGTTACACCCATGTCTGCTTCAAGGCGACCCTAAAGCAAGGTTCTTTAGAGCCCGCTTAGCCGGCCGTCAATTGATGTTATGACCTTTTGTATTTGGCTACAGCTTGGCAAGCAGCTGTTTTCCCGCCACACAACTGACCTTAGCAAATCTTCGAGCCAAAATTATAAAGCTGCAAGCGATGCTATTAATAACTGCCCAGCGAATTTTGAACAGTGCATTGAGAGAGAGAGATAGGGAACCGCGGCCCAAAGAGGGCCAGAGTGCCAGAGTGGAACCGAGCCGAGATTCGAGAGCTGTGCTGCAGCTCATTAAGCGACCAACGAACGGGCAACAGCTGTTGATGTTCGCTGTTCAATGTTCGTTGTTCGTCTCTTTGCCACAGTCTCTGCCCAAGCTGCAGCTATATGGGGGCACTTGAGCCACACTTTGCAACGCCAGGGCAGACAGGCAACCAGCCAAGACGCGGCTCTAAATGAAAACAAAAGTGAAAAGGTCAGCACCCAGGCAGGGAGTCGAAACTCAACAAATGGCAGACGCAGACAAAGACGCAGATGCGGAGCTAGATGAATATGAAGCTCCGACACTCAGCCAAGTGTAGCGTGCCAAGCTCAAGCGATTTGCGAGATATACTCTTACTAGAAAGAAGTATCACACCTAGCTTAAAACTTGCCTGAACAATATTAAATAGTTATACTTTTATATATTGAAGTTTTCGCTTATGATAATCTTTAAATATAGATCGGCATCTTTATATCTAAGTTTTACTGTCGCTAACTCAAAGTTAAGCTTTTAAATTGAATATATCACAACAATTCAAAGAAAGCATATTTTGTGTTCTCAGAAGAACTTATTTTAAGATTATTCCAAATGATCTAATAACTCAGCTGGCCATTTTGATATAAATAATTAAATTCTGCGTCTTCTTTTGACTGTTGCAATAATAAGTCTCAGCTTTTTTGAGAATTCTTAACAGTAAACTTATGCCTTTCGAATGTTCAACCTCGAACCAGTAGAAGACTCACTTTATGAGCATTTTTTTTTAAATCCTTATCCTTTTACTTATCTACTTAGTATACGATCAGCATACAATTGATTAGTAAGGAGTTCACGGATTAATCTACAACTCTCCTGAAAAAAAACTAAAATGTTATTTTAGATTTTATTTTTATTAGAACATATCTAACTAGTATAAACTTCCAAACATGTTAAGCAAAATAATATTTATAGTTAATAAGTAAAATATATTCAAAAAATATTTGTTCGATAGTTAAACTTTCTTTAGATCAATTTTTATGTTAATTCTTTGACTGTGCTCAATAATATTAATAGAATGTAAGCTTTTGTTTAAACTGAAGGTCTCCTCAGCTCTAAAAATTGTTTTAAATATTCTTCATAAGGTACATTTGTAGTGTATTTCTAGATTTTGTTGGGCCTTAATATCTTTTTTTTGCCCGTTATTGGCCGTTTTCCTGCTAACAAGTTGCGCATGCGCTTGTCTTGGCCCAGAGGCGCAACATTTGCAGCCAGTTGCCGGGCTCGGGCTCAACCTGACTGGTTGGGTTGCCCAATGTGCGAGTACTTGCTAAAGCCATTCGCATTTTAATCTTTCTAAACTATTGGGCAATACTTTTGGGGCATCTGGAGGCCAGGCCAATATGCGATTATCTACTGCAGTTGCAGTTTGTTGCGGATGGGAAACCGAAATCAAAAATTGCGGCAATTTGAAGAAGATAAACGTGGTTTTGTGGTCATTAATTGTGCCTGCTGCTGTTGTTGTTGTTGTTGTTGTTGTTGATGAAAGGTGCTTTGTTGTATTTAATGGACTGGGAAATTAGGCAGGGGAAAAATGCGCGTAATTGAAGAAGCAGCCGTGAACTGGCATCGAGCGGCGGCTGAGTCGAACCAAGTCGAGTGACAACTTTCAAATGGAAATGAATTATTGGCAGCACTTTCATTTTGTGGCACATTTGCAATCCGATTTCCTTTCCAAATACATTTTGCAGGAAACGCGACCGAAATTCATCCAAAGCCAAAAACCAAACAACTTTGACTTGAGCCCTCCCGAAATTGGATTTGGATCTGCCGCTGATTCCTTGTGATCGCTCTGACATTAGCAAATGCGGCACAAGAGTCGACGCGACGTCTGCTTTGAGAGACAATAGCAATTACACCCAGCTACAGACGCGCAGCGATTGCTTATGTAATCTTTGCCAGCAGCCAGTCAGACAGCAATTGACATTTGGAGCTAAGACGAGGGCGCAACAAAAACAAAAAACAAAAAAAGTTAAACCTCGCTAGCTGCTGATCATGGACGGACACAGGCCGCTTGAAGATGCCGCTGGCTTGGCTAATAATGAGGCATCATCAACAGCAGGCAGCGTCAACGGGAACGGTATGCGTCGTCAGCCGACCAAATATCCGCACGGCCTCAACATAACTGTGCAGACCATCGATGATGGCAAGGCTGATGACTACTCCCGCGCCTCCACATTAAGGAGCAGCAGCAGCGGCAGCGATGCCGAGTCCTGCTGGACCGACACCCAGAAGTATCGCATCGGCATGCTTGGCAGTCCCGAGACGCTGGCTGAGCTCCAGGTGCGCCGCTACAAGTACCCCCTGACGGCCAACTATTATCTGAACCGGGCAGCTCCCTCCGCTGGCCAGCAGCAGCATGAGAAGCCCACGCCCCTGATGCTGTTGGGCTATGCCAGGCGCGCCTGCCGCTGGAAGTATCTGCGCTGGCCCATCATCTTTGTGGCCAGCGTGCTGCTCTTCTTCGGACTGATCACCTACTGCCTCTGGCTGCACGACGTCAGCGTCGCTCGAGCGCGTTTCCTGCAGCGGCGCTACGAGGCGACCAGCTCCAGCTCGACCACTGAGTGGGAGGGCCTATTCGATGAGGAGACCACGGAGGTGCTGGCAACTACCACAGCGAATTCCAATGTTATGCAAGAGTCTACGCGACTGAGAGCCATCGAAATAAACAGGGAGCACACGACTTCCATGTCCGTGACGGAGGCGGATACGCCCACGGGAGACGATGACTATGATGATGTACTGCTGCCTGCAGACAGCATTCGCTTCACCTCCGGCCACCAGAACAGCTTCGGCGTGCCCATCGAACAGGATAAACGAATGCTGCAGCTACTCAAAGATGTAAGTGTTCAACTTCGGAGTTTTTGGTTGGCTTATTTTCATTTATGGGCCAACAACATTTTATAAAGTTTGCGGCATTTTTGATAGGGGATGACAAACAGATTTTTGTGTTTTCCCGTTTTAAAAAGATTATTAAAATCAACTCAAGCATTCCTCTTAAAAAGAGCACCTTTCCCTTCTCAAATAATGACATTTTTTCATTCTATGCTAAAAGGAAATACAAGGAAATAAAAGGAAATACAAGGAAATAATTTATTCACAAGTACTTTTAATTTTCTACCGATAATTTATTTACTTTTAAAGAACCAAACTAGTTCCAATTTTTGAGTTACCAAACTTCACGAAAAACTTCTTTTCTTTATAAGTTTCGCATCCTTAATCAAACATTTAATAGGAAATTTTATTTCTCTTTCAAAAGCTCTATAAAATCCTAAATACAGATATATTTCATATACTATTCCTGTTCCATTATTATAAAAATAATTGAAGAACTAAACTAGTTATAATTCTCGAGTTTCCAATTTAACAAAAAACTTCTAAACTTTTTGAATGGTTCCACTTCTTAAAGTAAATATTTAACAAGAAATTTGGTTTTTCTTCAAAAAACCTTCTTCATCCCATATTCTTTTGAAGCTACTACCGAAACCACAGTCCACACCCCCCGCCAATGTGCATCTGTTGACCCGCGTGTCGCCGACTCTGCCACCGCCCTCGGGGGTCAGTGGCAGACCGACTGAGGCGATGATCACGACGCCAGCGAGCAGCATTGGCAGCGGCTGCATCTCAACGGCGTTGCCCATGTGTCGCGGTGTCCTGGACTATGATCTGACCTACAACAATGGGAATGAAGCGCCACGGGACGCCGCCTCAATGGAGGCCTATGAGCAGCTCATCAGCGCCAACTGCTCGGCACGCGCTGTAGAGTTTGTCTGCGCCGCCCTGGAGCCTGAGTGCAGGCCCTTGCACATTGGACAGCTGCCGCCGTGCAGGCGCATCTGCAAAGGTAACACAGCAGCAGAGAGAGATGGTGGGAGGATGAGGTGGTGGCTCATTAATCAGCTGCGCTGTTTGCTTTAGCCATACTGGAGGCCTGTTCCATTGTCATCGCGAACTCGGACCAGCTGAGCGAACTGTTCGACTGCAGCCAATATCCGGATGCCCATGAGACGCACAAATGCGAGGATCCCACACGCAGGCGTAACTTTTGCTATGGCAATGAGTTCCAGTGTCACGACGGGAGCTGCATTCCACAGCAGTGGCAGTGCGACAACATCAAGGACTGTGCCGGCGGCGAGGACGAGGATGAGCAGTGTCTGGTGTGCGAGCACGAAGAGTTTCGCTGCCGCTCCAATGAGAAGTGCATACCGGAGAATCTGCGCTGCGATCTCAACTACGACTGCTTCGATGCCAGTGACGAGGAGGACTGCGACGAGTACGGCTCCGGCGATGCGGCGCCCTTTGACGAGGCCGAGCTGAACGCCTTTCCGCGCATTTTCTCCTACGCTAGCTTCCTGTCGCCGAACGAGACAAACGAAAAGCTATACACTTACATCACAGCCACCACGGATGAGGAGGCCGGCACTGAGACCAAGTTCCAGGTGCATCAGGTCGCAGCGCCTGCGCCAGCAGGGAATGCCAGCTCAGAGGAGCCGGCAGCAGGCGGCGGGCCCAAGGGCTTTGGTAAGCTTTGGCTTTGATTCATTCCACATTTGGCTCATCTCTGCACGCGCTCTAGTTAACTTTCGGGACAGCAAGGAGATCATGATGACCAGCGATTCGGAAAACAAGTTCAAGTATTCCGCCCAACGTGCCAATCGCACCACTAGCAAGTTCAGCATATCCACAGCCACGATGCCCACCCGAACCGCAAGTGCGATCCCACCCTCGGCTCTGGCGCAGCAGCGCGAACGGGAGCGCATCGCGATCAGTAGCTCCAGCAGCAGCACGAGCACCACGTCAAGCACCATGGCCACGCCCACCAGAGCGCCAGGACGCTGTCTGCCCCACGAGTTGCGCTGTGTAAGTGGCAAATGCATAACCGTTGATCAACTGTGCGATAAGGTAGGCAATCCATGGGAATACCGGGACTCGACTCTCAAAGCATCCTTTCCTTCTTTCCGTTGAGCACAGCAAATAGACTGTCCCGATGCGGCTGATGAGATCATGTGCGTCTATCGCGAACGACCCAGCGTGCGCGGACTTACCACTACAACAACAATGAAGACCACGCCCACAACAATATTAACAACAACAAAAACAGCAGCAATAATAACAACAACAAGGGCACCCACAACAACGCCGCCAATGACCACAACGAGGCGTTCGGTGCGAACCAGCCCAAATCGAAGTCGAAAGCCCAAGTCCTAGACAGCTAGGATATTAGCTGATGTACATTATATGGAATCTTATACTTATATTAATATTTATAAATTACTTTCTTATCTTTCTATATTGTATCTTTCGAATGCGCGCTCGCTATGTGTATGATATATTATTGGCTAGATCGTAAGTTGTTAGTAGATTGTTTGACTATTTTTATGTACCATCTGCCAGACGTGTGTTTGGTACGTGTGTGTCTCGTAGCAATAATAAAGTTAAGATAATAGATAATCGACGGTCAAATATGGTTAAGTGAAAAGGGCATACAACAGCTCTGGATAGCTCAAGCGCTCCGATTTCTATTGTATTCTCTTTTGGACAACCTTGGCAGGAGCATAAAAAATGTTCCATTGTCTTTTCCAGTAAATAACCAGAGAGCGCCACAACAATCAACAGCAGGCCTCTCTCCTCAATTCAAATTCCGCACAATACCTTTGAAATTTCAAAATAAATCGATACAAATAAAATAAAAAAGAAATAACAATTAGGCCCTGGACAATATTACAATTTCACGGCGACCTTCAAGGCGAGGCGTTGCCGTCAACCCACGCACCGAAAGTCATTCAAAACCTTTGCCCAATTCAATTAACAGGCCCATTGTCCATTATCGGTATCGGGTAGAGCCCATTATCTACACGAGCACGGCTGACTGCTCTGAGTGTGCATTAGAGGCACAACCACATGACATTCACCCACACACAAAGCGACTAGAAATGTAACATAATAGCCACTCAGGCTGCGCCACACGACCAAATGCAACACGGAAGACAACGGGGAGACAACACGTAGGCAACGGAGAGACAAGTGACAGCGGGGAGACAAGTGACAAGGGGAAGACAACTGGCAACAGACAACATCCAACATTTGGACCAAAGCACTTGTCAAATGAGCGCAGCAGGCAAATCCACAAATGCCAAGCAGATTAAATTGCAGTTCAGGCCCAAGTGACAAGTTTTAAGTCCCGCCAATATAGAGATGAACGCGTAGCAAATTCGAACTATAATTATAAATTTAAAACTCACGACTTTTTCTCTTGACAATATTTATATTGTTTTTTCTGAATTATTATTGTATTGCATATATATTGCATATTTTTAAATCTTGAGATAATATACTGATCACTAAAAGTGACCAACTAAAATGCTGAGGTTAAAAATGTTCCAAGCAGAAATATATATTGGTTCCAGGTTTAATGACACAATTTCGAAGCTAGAATTGTGAAAAACTATGAATTTATCTTAATTTAGCTGCAGCCAAAATATTTGCAATCAGAAATACGTTTTCCTAAATTTCAGAAAATTAATCAAATTAATAATTTTCCAAATTTCAGAACATTTTCTTGGTAAATAATTCTCGTCTTATGGTAATTGTCCTCAAAATGATATAAGTAGTATTTCTGGTATTGTGGTCATGATATTTTTGACCATATGACATATTGAGTCACGGAATCAGGGCATTGAACATATGATGAAATATATGTATATGTACTGAGTCAGGGAGTTGTGAAATTTGTCGTGCTGAATCTTGGATAAAATTTTAGTGACTTTTCAATTATGTCTTGCATTTAGTCGTGTGTATTTGTGATGGTCGTGCTTTCGTGTAGATATGACACGCGCCCAACTCTAAGCCCATGTCTAAAGTCTACATTTGCAGCCGCACGGACGTTGACAGCTCTGCAGTGGCCACAAATGCAGAGCACTCTTTTGGCACAGGGGCTGTTCCGAAATCGGTAACTCGAGCCAAAGGACGAACCCGAAGCCGAATGCTACCACAGAAGTTAAATGCATTTTGATTTCACCCCCCCGACAAAAAAACAAAATAAAATAGGGAAAAAATCAGACGAAACGACCTTTTTTGTTGGGCTGATTTTGCTTTTGCTGCCTTCTGATTGATTGCCATCAGAGATCCGCTTTTGGCATGACGGCAAATGCGATTTGATTGCTGCTGTTGTTGTGTCCTGCACAATGACAATAACTATTAATATATGTTTTCAGCAATCCCTAATCCTGCGAAACAACTTTTATGCGCAATTGCATCATCAGTTTCAGCCCCAGTTTCCGATTAAATTGCAACGCAAAATGGGATAAAAAACGAACTTTTTTTTTCGTGTCTTTCTTTCTATTTTTTTTCCAACTTCTGTAATTTTGGGTTATCGTTGGGCATTTGATACATCTGATTCGTCGCCCATTTTTGACAGCTGTCGCTCGTCTACATTTTCACCTTAATTAAGTGATATTAATCGTTTCGCCAAAATACAAAAAAAAAAGAACTAAAAATAATATGAAATCTGAACCCTAACAACAACAATTTTTCAACGCCCTCTTCAAAAAAGGCTGCCTACATTTTAGCGGGTGGGCGTTGACCTTAATCCGACAGTCGACAGCCGAGAGCCGGCTAAAAGGAAAAGCAGCAGTCATTTTGTGGGCATTAAAAGCTTTTCACAATTTCACTTGCCTTGTCGTAGGCCTCGTCTGAGTGTTTGGGCACACGCATAATTTTCATTTAGTGCCCCTTTTGTGTACCCTTTTTCTCTCGGCTGCTGTGCGACCCTTGCCAATATTGTTAATGGACCCGATTGTAATGGGCCATTTGGGTTTGGGGCTCTTTGGCTATGGCCATATGTGCGCATATGAATGTGTTGTTATCTATGCCTGGCCAGGCCATAAAATTAATGGCTAGTGCGCTACCAGATAGAGCCTTGAACCAGCATTAACCCAGTGACCTTTGCCCCAAACGACAAATTAGTAATTGAAATTTGAAGTTCAAGTTAAGTGAGTTCACTCCAGAGACTAACACAAGCTTTTGGTCTTTGCACATTGTGAAGCACAAAGCCCAAGAACTTATGGGATAGGGGGCTAACTCTTTTAAGTCGACGTACTTTTCAAGTCCAACAGGTATGTCATGTTAATCTTCATTTATGTTAGCACACTAAAAGCCATATCAGTAGACACTCAAAGACCTATCGGATTAGCTAGGCCTTGGTTTACCAAATTTGGAATTAAATTAAGTTTTTAGTTGACCGTTAATAAAACTCTTTAATTGTAAAAGAATTTTTTAAAATATACAAGCGTTTACTAAATCTTGCTCGACCCACAAATTTGAGTAAAGGCATTTGAACTTTAAAGTCAATACAAAAGTCTTAAGTCCGTTCTTTTAATATTCTAAAAAATGTAATTCCCATCTAGCTCTTTTACTGAAAACATAGTTAGACTTTCTTTACTTATAGAAACTATTTTAGAAAATTGATCCTAAACGCTCAAAATGAATTGAAAAACTTAGCTTTTACTTTGTCTTCAAAACATCTTGGCACATATACATGTAATATTAACTTGGGTAAATTTAAAAATATTAAACATTAAAAAATATTTCACCTTCATAATCTTGAGTAAAGATACCCTTACTGAGTCTTTGAACTTCAAACTTAATTCAGCTTACCTCAACTCTTAACCCGGCGCATGAATGCGTTAAGCATTAGCCTTACGCTGTCCCGACCAGTCCTGTCAGTCGTAACTCTAGGGACCTATCGGACTAGCTGAACTCATAACCTTAAGTGCCAAACTCTTCAACTAAATGTAAGAAAGAGAACCCGTTACATTTCAGTTTAACCCTTGACTGACCTTCTGCGTATCCTTCGAGGCGACAGCTCTCTGGAACGAGTCTTGGCGCAGCTACTGGCATGTCCCGTCGAGTGCTCTAAATGTACACCCGTAATTACGAGCTCATCATATCGTGCGCATAGTTACGCTTGATCGTTTTTAAATTGCGAGCGGCGCACTTCCGCCCAGGAGCAGAAGGAGAGCAGGAACAGAAGCCGACCCAATATGGATTTAATGGGCGACGGCAATGTCGGCACTTCAAGAAGTTGACATAATTATGCCAGCAGCAAGACACCATCGGGACGTTTATCGTTGATTGTGCTACCCCCTTTGCGCAGGATCTAAGGAGTCATTGTCTCGGGCAACGGGCAAACGGGCAACCCTTAGGCCTATCGAGAGTGCAGCCTGCACCCTACACTATTGGGCCTGCTGGCTTGGGATGCCGATAATGATGATTCTTATGCTGAAACATTCCATTGCGACAGTTGTTACTGTTGCCCAAGGAAATGGGCGTGGCACGCCCCACTGTGATTTGCATAGCTGTCAAAAGCGACTCAAACTCAGCGCTAAGTACAGTTGGGTCATTCGAGCAGAGCGAGAATCTCGAAAATCATTAGGTGCATTTTCCAATTGATTTCACGCGCCAACCACAAGAAAAATCAAATAAAATGAAATAAAATAAAAACCAAAATCGAAATCGAAAGAAAACAAAGCAACTCTCGAACAAAATCAGTAAGCAGCAAAAGGCAACAAACAAAACCGAGAAGAGGCAACCGCAACACGAGGCAAACTCGCAACAAGGCGAAAAGATTGCAAAGTCCGGACCCATGTAATGCCATACTAGCACATTCCATTCCAGACCCTAACAGACCGGACCCCATCAGGCCAGACAATTGTTTCATTGTGACCAGCTTGTCACGTAGGGAAAGCCAGTCGGCTGCTGCTGCTGCTGCTGCTGCGTTTGTCGTGTCTCCTGTCGCATTGTTGCAAAATTGATGAGGCGCAATAGATTTCCGTATGCCTGCGCCTCAGCTGAGCCCTGTCGATGATGCCATCCCAACCATCCCTAGCCGCTTGCCAAGCGATTGCTACTGCAAAAAATTAGACATGAAGTGTACCCTTCAGTATGCCGAATATTTTATGCTCTTGCCAATTTTCTACTCAAGCGATGAGAGTATGAAAGTAAATCAAATGAGGTAAATTTTTATACACAAACGTTGAAAAATATTTTATTATTTATAATTTATTTGAAAAAAAAAGATAACTTACAAAGTTTTTACAAAATAAGCATCATACTTCAATCTTCTACAGAATATAGAGGCAGATATTTTATATATAGGGGGCCCATATATACCGATTCTAAAGGCGCGCTGCCCTCTAACAAAAAGTCCAAGACTCTGAATAAAAATATTAATATATATATATATATATATATATATATATATAATAAATGGCATGGGGCAGTATCTATGCACGATATATTGCGTGCCTTGATATTATATATATATTATAATGAAATTGCAAATATCTGCTTCAATACGTTACGCACTTCATGACACAATTGTTATAGCCTCTGCAAGAGTATAAACAGTAG